AAGATTGTAAAGAATCTTGGAGGTCATGGAGTCCAGTGGAATGCCATCTTTTTATTTTACAGGTGAGGCTACTGAGGACTAGCATCCCAGTCATCTGCTGATCTGCAACAAAATACCCCCAAATTTCGTGGCTCACTGCAACAATTTTGTTATAGCGCCTAAGGTTGTGAATCCTGCATCTAGGCAGGGATCAGCTGGGCAATTTTTCTGCTCTATGTGGTGATGGCTGGGACTGCTAGGTGATGTTTGCCTGGTGGAGGATCCTTTCCTCTCTCTACACTTCAAACCACACAATTCCCCATGAGCCACAGAGCATCTGCTCCAAGAGGAGTGGATCACTGAGAGAATACCAAACTGCTCCCCAAACATGTTTGCTAATGACCGAGGCTATGTCATGGCGTATGTGACAAAAGGTGACAAGGGACATTTTCTTGCCTTCAGTTCTGTATTCTACCAGGACTTGCCTCGAGTTCTAAATCGGGTGAGCGTCTGTTAGCTATTAGCTGTTTTCTGTTAGTATTGCTTTCCCACACATCTTTTGTGGACTCACCTTCTCTCCTTCCTGGTGGATGAGTGGCCTAACTTGCTGGGGACTCAAGAGCATTTGTCTTGCTTGGTATGTGGTCATGTTAGAAGGAAGTGAGGGACTTTGGGGCTGGATTTGAGTGAGCTGAAGCTCTGCCAGTCAAGCTAGCAGGTCTGGTGTGTATGGCTCCCAAAATCACAGCTTCTGTTTCCTGCTAGGCAGTGGAAAGGGGGACAGGCATGGAGGCAATGCAGCAGCCCATTATATTATTATTTCTGGATAAATCAGCCATTCTGATGAAGGGTACCTGATATGAATCTGGGACTGGGTGCCTCTCACTTCTTCTTGGCATCTTCTGCTCACTTCCTTTCAAAGATAACATGTGGGACATACATGCCACTGTAAGTTAATTTCCAGTGCAGAAGCTACAGAAAGCATATCGATAAGTTACTGCTTTTCTCCTTAGTTCCCCGTGGCTGTGAACTTGATATTCAATTTACTTTCACATATCCACATTTTTATATTCTATTACTCCTGCCACCCCCAGAATTGCAGAGAGACAGAAAGAAGCATCTGTAAGGATCTGCTGAACAGCAGATGCCTACTCTATGGGGCTGTTTGCTTGCATTTTAGAATGAAAAATTGATTGAAATAGAGGGTAACTGAGGATATGAGAAGGGTAATATGTCGACTTTGGCACTAGATTGGTCTGAGTTCAAATTCTAGCTCTGCCACTTACATACTAGTAAGCTTCAGCAACAACAACAAAAATATCTCTGAGCCTCAATGTTCTCATCTGCCAAATGGGCATAACAGTGCTGTGTCATATGGTAATATTAAGGACTGCAGGAGATGATGGATGTGCAGGAGTGTAATAAATGCTAGTGTCCTGTGCACAAGAACAGCTCTGTGAGTGAATCAGACATATAAAAACTTAAGGGGACATATTTTTATTTTTTTGATTAATTTTTTTTTAATATTTATTTATTTCTGAAAGAGAGAGAAAGAGACAGAGCATGAGCAGGAGAGGGGCAGAGAGAGATGGAGACGCAGAATCCGAAGCAGGCTCAGGCTCTGAGCTGTCAGCACAGAGCCTCACACGGAGCTCGAATGCACGAACCGTGAGATCATGACCTGAACTGAAGTCCGACACTTAACGGACTGAGCCACCCAGGCGCCCCAGCACACATATTTTTATTAATACAGAGTTAGAAATGTGAGGTCATAATAAATATATTTTGTTCAGCATTCCACATTTTAGACACCGTGCTAGGCTCCATGGACACCACATGACAAGCCAAGTTCCCAGTCCTCAGGTAGTGGAGGAGGGGGAGAAGAGTGGAGGTCAGGAAGACCACAAGACAAGATAATGACTTGAGGGTGCGTGTGTGCAGGTTCTCAGAGAGACCAGAACCTCAGTGGTAGGTGCAATGAAACCCTTTCAAACAAGAACACGCAAGCTGCATGATGCCACAACACAGCTCACCTTGAACTCCGTGGGAGTTTTCATTTGACTTTGAGTTTTGAATTCCCCATCAAGGAAAATCAGTACTCCAGAAGAATTACCAAACAGTTACAAAAAGAAGCCAACTTCTCAGAAATTCAAGAACCGGGAGAAACTGAGATAAATCTTTATTATTGACCTGTTCGGGGATTTAAAAAAATAGAAATTTGGCTAAATATAAAACATGTACAATGTGTTTTTAAAGTAATCTTTAATGATTATATAATTTAGGAACATGCAAATATATACTGCTTTTTTTTTAACATCAGAAGGTTTTTTCCCATTTTAAGGTTTTGAAATAATTTGAGATTTAGAGAAAAGTTGGAAAATGGCACTTAAAATTCCTATATAACCTGCACCCTGGTTCCTCAAGTGTTAATTTTAATAAATTTGTTTATTCTCTGTCTCTCCCTTTATTGTTTCTGAACTAGCTTGAAGTTATGTAAAAGCGTTATACCTCTTTACCTCTAATTGCTTTAGAATATATATATATATATATATATATATATATATATATAAAAGTTATTCTCTAACGTAACCACAGTACAATTATCAAAATCAGGAGGTTAACCGGGATCTTCTACTATTAATTATCTCCAGGTATTAAAACCTCATCAATTGTCTCACTCATGTCCGAAAGAGAAACTTCTCTGGCTCGGGATTCAATTTCATATCACATATTACATTCACATGCCCTGGCTCCTTAGTCTTCTTTAACCCAAAGCGGTTCCTAGTCTTTCTTTGTCTTTCATGATTGGCATTTAAAAAGAAAATAGACTTTATTTTTTAGAGCAGCTTCAGGTTCACAACCAAATTGAGAGCAAGGCACAGAGATTTCTCATATACCTCCTGCCTCTCTGTATGACCAGCCTTTTCATTGTCAATGTCCTTTCAAGAGGGTGGTATATTTGTTACAGCTGATAAGCCTACATTGACACATCATTATCACCCAGAGTCCCTAGTTGACATTAGGGTTCACTCCTGGTGTTGAACATTCTAGGAGTCTGGACAGATGTGCAAGGATATGCATCTAGTGTTATACATACAGAGTAGATTCACTGCCCTAAAATTCCCATGTGCTCTCCCTATTCATCCCTTCACCGCCCTCCCTAGCTTTTGGCAATCATTGATCTTTTCACTCTCTCCATAGTTTTGCTTTATCCAGAAAGCCAGATAATTGGATGTATAAAGTATGTAGCCTTTTCAGACTGGTTTCTTTCACTTATTAATATGCACTTCAGTTCCACCATGTCTTTTCAGGGCTTAGTGGCTCATTTCTTTGTAGTGCTAAATGATATTCTATCATCTGATGTATCACGGTTTGCTTATCTACACACTTACTGAAGGACATCTGGGTTGCTTCCGAATTTTGGCAGTTTTAAATAAAGCTGCTATTAACACCCTGGTGCAGATTTTTGTGTGGACATGTTTTCAACTCCTTTGGGTAAACACCAAGGAGTGCAATGCTTAAATCACATGTTAATAGCATGTTTAGTTGAAACTGCCAGAGTGTCATCCAAAGCAGCTCTACCCATTTGCATTTTCCACCCGCAAAGAATGAGAGCTTCTGTCTCTCTACCTCTACCCTCGCCAGCATTTGGTGTTGCCAGTGTCCCGGACTTGGGCCATTGTAATAGGTATGCAGTGTTAGCTCATTGTTGCTTTAATTTGCATTTCTTTTGGTGACTAACGATGTGGACCATCTTTTCATCTGCCCATTTGCCATCTGTGTATTTTCTCTGGTGAATGATGGCATTTTTGAAGAGTACATACAAGCCTTTGGTAGCATGTCCTCAATTGGTTTTGTTGGATGTTTCCTTGTTTTTATATTCATGGTATAGATTTTTATCAGGGATACACAGGAGTGTTATGCTGGTGATGATTTCTCTCCTTATCAATGATGTTGACTTTGACCAGCAGGTTAAGGTGATACCTGCCAGGTGTCTCCAATGAAAAGTTACTTTTCCCCTTTGTAATTAAATGGTATCTTGTGACGAGGTACATTGCAAGTATGCACACATGCCATTTCTCATCACATTTTGGCAGTCTTGCTGATTCTTACACAATTATTACCGTAGTTACTGCCAAATGGCAAGATTCTAATTCTGTCATTATTTCTACATTTTACTGGAGTTTTTCTGGAAGGGAGAGCTTTTCTTCTGCAACAGGAGCTTATTGATTCATTTACGTGATCATCTTAGCAAATGCTGATGGGATCTTATTTTATTCTGTGGGTTACTATACTTATTTACTTTGTGGCTCAAATTATTCCCTAGTTGATTAGTGGAAGCGCCTTCAAGTCAGCTTCTGAATCTCCTTAACAAGATCCTCATTTTGCCTTCTATTTGTCCCAGCCCTGGAATCAGACATTTTTTCCAAAGGAGCCCAGGTTCCTTTTATTGGAAAAAAAAAAGTGTTTTGGTTAACTCTAAAGTATGGTTTATTCTTTTTATTTTTTGGCTATAACTGATCATCTATTATATTTAAGGCACTGAATGTGTTCCTGGAAACTAAAGATGTGATTCTTTACCCCAAGGAATTCTAAAGGAGAGGTAAGGCAAACACACAAGACCCCCATATAAGATGAAGTGATGCATTGCAAGAGGCTAAACATGAGGTGCTGTAGGAGACAGAAAAGGGGGGAAATCCCTGCAGGCTTTGAAGATTTAGGAAGGTTCCACAAATAGTACCTGAGCTCTATGGGAGGATTTAAATCAGGAGAAAATGAGGAAGACGTGGAAATGGTGATCAGGTAGAGACAGATTGCTCATTACTGACATTAATGACAAAATTTTGCTGAATTTACCTATAATTATTTTAAAGCTGTGCCTCATGTAAGATTTGAAAGGTTTGCACTTGCCTCCTCTATTTTAAAGTGATTTCTGATGTCACAAAGCAGGTGCACAGATTCCTTGTGCATGGAATGTCAAAGATTGGGTGTCAGGGAGTTCTCCCCGGGCCTGATGTAGATCTGTCCCTGGGCCTGGCCCAATGCAGAGCCTGCTCTGATCAGTTTCTGGAATCAGGCAGGGGCAGGGTACCTGGTCTCACTTCACTCCAGCCCCTCGCGGCTCGTCGGGAAGTCCTGGCTGTGGCTGCGGAACACAGATCTGTCCTCAGATGCTGCTGGGCTTTGCCTGGAGATGTGTGCTCCCGGTGGGGCCTCCACTTTTCCACTGAGTCCGAGGTCCTGGTTCACGGGTTTGTTGCAAAGAACAAAGGAATGCGCAAGAAAACACATGGTAATGTATGTGAACTTTAAAGTGTGTGTCTCCTGCCATATTTGTGCTGCAAAATTATCCTTTGCATATCTGAAATTCAGCTGTAACTGGGCATCCTGCATTTTATCAGGAACCCACCCTCGTGGGAAACAGAAGTCAGTACTGACCTCCTGCCCCACAATACCTCCCTCCTAGCGCCCAGGGGAGCCAACAGCCCTTCCGGAATGCCCTGCTTACTCAATAATTGTGCAGTGTGAGATTGGTGGGTAAATTGGACATCATGGGAATTTATAATCAGATGGTTCATACACACACCATGAGACAAATTACCCATATTAGTTTTTATTTAAACTATAATTGAATATGTGAATAGAAAATTAGTATAATGTATTGATACCATCTGGTGCTCCAATTTTATACCCGTTTTGTCATCCATCTTAATTTAAACAAGATTGAATTTTTTCCCTACACATTATTTTATTTCATTAATTACTCTGTTGTCATTTAGATGCCACTGTGTTGACCATGATCATGAATGCATTTAATAATTTGTAGACAACAGAACAGGTGTGTTGCCTTCAACAAGCCAGTGTTTTTCCTAGTTGTAGAGATGCTAAGATTTGATAGTTAACCCCATCCCAAGATTGAGTAATGTCCAATACAACATGGCATTCTCCAGAAATGTTTATAAATAGTTCAAGTTCATCCACTCATGTATTCTTTCTATACCTCCTGTTAACTGCCTACTTTGTGGTAGGCATTAACTGGGTGCTAAAGATGGAATGAGATCTAAGACAGAGTCCTACTACTCATAGCATCTCCATCTGGTGAGACATTCAGATCCACACACAGATAACGGTAGTGTGATTCAAAAAGGCACAATGGCAGTGCTCTGGGGACCCAGAGAAAAGAGCCCCCAGTGTGTAGAAAGAAGGGAAGTGGATAAAGAGGAAAATAAGCAAAGAAGAGTCAGCCAGAGATATGATCAAAGAGGTGGCGTGGAAAGGCACTTAACATAATCCCGTTTTCTAGCTCAGTTGTTTAGCTAAGAGTACGATAGACTAATATGGGACTTTGTGGTTTAAGAAGAACATCCACGCACACACACACGTGCGTGTGCTGTGCAGAGAGTGGTGCGAGGTTGTCTTTAAGGGCAAAGAAGCACAAAGAAGCAGAAAGAAAAGGCAGGTGGGATTTGGATCCGGGGAGCTCACCGAGGATAGCGGGGAGGTGGGAAACGGCCAGCCTAACTGGTTGGAGGTCTCAGCTTACAGGTGGGTTTTTCCTTTGTGTTTAACTCTATTTTGTAAGTTGCCTTAAACTTGTGTTGCTCTGGTATCATTCCTAAAGGCATTTTTATCAACATGCAAATCAAAACCACAGTGCGGTTATCACCTCACATCTGTCAGAATGGCTAAAAATCAAAAACACAAAAAACAACAGGTGTTTGCAAGGATGAGGAGAAAAGGGAATCCTTGTGCACTGTTGGTGGGAATGCAAACTGGGGCAGTCACAGTGGAAAACTGTGGAGGTTCTTCAAAAAGTTAAAAATAGAAATACCATAGGATCCAGTAATTCCAATATTGGGTATTTATCCAAAGAAAACAAAAACGCTAATTCGAAAAGATCCACACACGCTGATGTTTATTGCAGCGTTATTTACATTAGCTAAGATATGGAAGCAGCCCAAGTGTCCATCTATAGATGAATGGATAAAGAAGATGTGGTATCTACACAATGAAAAAAAGAGTGAGAGCTTACCATCTGCAACAACATGGATGGATCTAGAGCCTATTATACTAAGTGAAATAAGTCAGTCAGGGAAAGACAAATACCATATGACTTCACTCATCCACGGAATTTACCAAACAAGACAAATGAAGAATGGAAAAAGCGACAAACCAAAAACCAGACTCTTAAATATAGAGACCAGCCCAGAAGGGAGGTGGTTAGGAGGGTGGGGGAAATAGGCGATGGGGATTAAGAGTACTCTTAATCGTGATGAGCACTGAGTAATGTATAGAACTATTGAATCACTATAGTGTACACCTGAAGCTAATATAACCCTGTATGTTAATATACTGGAGTTAAAAAAAAATCTTTAAAGGCATTTTTATAAGACGAAGAAAGGCTATCTATACAAATGTTCCAGATTAAAGGGGGGTAGAGACATGTAACCGGATGTACAGCCTGTCCCTAGGCTGTGTCCCAGAGCAGAGGTCAGAAGGTCAGAAGGTCAAAACCAGGTCAGCCGACAGAGCTGGATTACAATCAGTAGATTAAACTATTGGATCCAGTTGAATTCGTTCAGTTGGTCGCTGCACTGTAGTTATACAAGGGAATACCCATATTCTTAGGAAATATAAGTACTAAGGATCATGATGTATGTACCTTATTCTCAAGTGGTCAAAAGTATTGTATACAAATATTTATTGCAAAGCTTGCCTGCTTAGAGAGAGAAAAAGAGAGAGCACAAATGCCAAATGATGAAGCAAATAAGGTGAAAGTCAAACCACAGATGAAATGAGGCGAAGGGGACACATGCATTCGCTCTGTATTGGTTTCATTCTGGCAACTTCTCTGGATGTTTGAGATTATTCTCAGAAAGCACTTTGACACATCATCTCTGTGGTCCTCACGACTAAGTAACACAGGCTTACTTATTATCCCCACTATACAGGCGAAGGCTCCACAAAGACATATGCAGAGTCACACAGCTAGTAGGTGACAGGCTTAGGACCAGAGCCCGGGGTTTCGTAACACAAAGCTTGTGAGCACCTCCTTGGTCTCTCAGGCAGCCACATAGACTTTATTTAGGTGCATGGGAAGAGGGATGGGGTTTTTTGGAGAATTTTGCCGACTCCACACACCATGCCTCACGCCCACGCGGGGGGAGGTGTCATCCACCATCTGTATCAACCATCTCCATTTCTGCGTGGGCAGCCTCCCGCTGGCCGGACATCCTGAGCGCTCCTGCCATCTGTGGAAATTCTGTCCCATGCAGACAGACTCCCTTACACCGCTCATCAATCTCCAAATGTCCCTTTGTGCTCATCGCCTTACCCGAAACCCGACTCTACTGTGAGGACATGGTTCCCCCACCTCTGTTCCTCGTGCAGACCTCAGGGTCAGGGTTTGGGTCTGAGTTTTCCTGACCCCCTCCCAGCACCTGCTCCCCCCTCTAAGTTCTCCACTTTGTGTAAAAATCGCTGCTCCTCTGAGACTTGATCAGTTTGGCTAAATCGTTGTAAGCCAACCTCGTCATTTTCTTCAGGCTGGCCGGTTGGTCACTTTCCCTCATGTTCTGAAGTTTGGCTTCTGGTTTACCATATTCCTCTTCTGCAAATCCTACCATTGTTATTCATGACATCAGTTTTCCAGGCATGGCCTGTCCAGTGCTCTGGACTCTTCCTTGACCACCTCTTCTCCAGTGATACGTTCTCTTCACTGCACTTCCTCCGCTCACACTGGGGCCATTCCCTAGACCTTCCTACATTCCAAACTACTTGTCCAGGCAGGGCTATTGGTTGTAAACAACAGAAATCAATCTCATCCACTAAGGCAGATGGAGCATAGTGTACAGAGTGACAGGGAAAAGCAGAATGCCACATCAGAAAACTGTCAGGGCTCAGGAGGGTCTGGACAGCTTGGAGAATGGCCTGGTTCCTGGTCCTGGGCCCCAAATCATAGACCATTGCCCTGTAACTGGCTCTGCTGGCCCCCCATCAGCACACCACTGGACTTAGCTCTATACCTACGTAAGAAATCACCCACTGTCTCATCTTCTTGTCTGCCCTCCTTGGAGAATAAGGGTCTTGGGTAAGAGTTCTTGGTTGTCCAAGCATAGCTCATGTGTGCACTCCTTCCTAAGTCTAGGGACCTAGAAAGAGAAAAATGCCCTCCAACCGTGGAGCCTCCCCAGTAAGGACAGGGCTGTGTTGTGGAATGAATGCGTGTATCCCCCAATGATCAGTGTCCCTATTAGAAAAGGAAGGGACAAAGATCTCTCTGTCTGCCCATGCTTGGGCACCAAGGAAAAACCACGTGCGCACATGCAGCAAGAAGGCAACAGTCTGCACACCAGAAAGAAGGTTCCCACCAGAACATGACTGTGCTGGCACCTTGACATCAGACTTCCAGCCTCTACCAGTGGGAGGAAATAAATGTCTGTTGTTTAAGCCGCTCAGTCCCTAGTATTTTGTTACAGCTGCATGAGCAGAGTAAGGCAAGCAGAGCAAGTCCCACATCTGTGATTACCTGAAATGGGAAGAGCATGCGATGCTGAGAAGCCCAAATCGACAATGTCCGGCATTGTACGTCTGCTTGGCAACCCTGCCTTCTCACGTCCTCTTCTCTTCTCCCAATTACCTTTCAAAGCAAAGCTCTCCCCTCACTATGTACAACTCACTTTTGTATGTTGAAAACTCATTCACTCCACCACAGCCCAACCAAGGAGGCATCACACAAATCTCTCCTAGATGCTAAAGTGTCCAGCTCAAAGTCCAGGGTTTCTGGACGTTTGCTCTTCCGGATTCTCCCTTGATCCAGTCTCAATATTTTGAAATTTTAAACCATTACAACCCATAAACGATAGTGTGAGGGGGAAATAAATGGATGGAATGAAAGAAATGGTGGTTAAAATATGTTTGTCTGCATCTGTATATATGTATGTATTTCGTGTGTGGATATATATTATATATAATATTAATTTAAATTTATATAAATATATTAATATAAATATATACTTATTAATATAGGATGTGATATGAATATATTGACATTAATTATAAATGTATAGTAATTTTATTAGCTGATAAGAATATATTAATTTATATTAATCTATATTGTTAATTTATATTAATAATATATTATATATAATAATATTAGAGAATGCCATGACCTTTGCTTTGCAACTGTTCTCAAAGCCATATTTGACATATGCAACTCTCCCCAATATCCTATTCTTTTCTTGTTCCCTAGACCTTCAGACCCCACCCATGGTGATCAGAAATGTTCTCCTAGTGAGATGACTCCAAGCTTCCTTCCCAAAGGATATGAGCCCTTGGTGGTCTTGCTCATTAACATCGGGGAGTGGCTGAAATAAGAGACTCCCAGGGGAACACCTGCATTCTGTTTATAACTCTTCCCATTCCACTGCTTAATCAACACTATTTCCTCTTGGTAGGATTAAGGTTCTCAGCCAACAATCTAGTGCCCATTTTTGCTGATGGACTGAATGGCATGGGGAGCTCAATGTGACTCAGAGATAGCAAAGCAAGATTTCTGCTAGTGAATCATTAGGTTTCATTATGTGATGTTCCCCCTCAATTCTAGCCCTTGTAATGGACCTTTGTAATATTCCTGAAATGATATATTAGAAACTTGTTCTGAGCATATTCTTTATTCTGCAAGGCTGCATCCCTTCCAAGGAAGGTATTATTTCTTAGTTGGATCGGGAGACCGGTTACACACACACACACACACACACACACACACACATACACACACACTCACACACACACTATAATATACAATGACATGCACAGGTAATTAGCAGAGGTGCGACTAGCAGAAAAATAAAATTCAGAATGTATCCCTTTCACTGAGAAGGAATTTATGTCTCTCCATGGTGAAAGGGGGTTTATGGGACCAACCAGCCACCACGTACCAAGATGGTTCTCCAAGATACTGTACTAAAGGTTTGCAGCTTGTTGCTCCTGTTGGAAGTTGGCCACGCAGCAATGGGATGGCCAGATAAGCCTATGCAAAGACGATGAGTGACCCTGGGGAAGGAGGCTGATGGATATTCCCAAACTGAGTCAGTTTTCCCTCCTGATCAGTAAGAAGTCACTGTGTGGTGGAGGTGTTGTGTTGGGATTTCATATAAGATACAGATATGTTTCCATTCTGGGGAGGTTCCAAAAGTTCCATAAACCTCTTTCCTGGGAGTCTTGGTCACTGATGCTCTAGTACTGCGTCTTCCACATCCCCGACCAACTGGCCAAACCATAAGCTGCTGCTTATGAGCAAGTATAAATACTCAAGTCAAGCTTGCTCTTCTTACAGATAAAATGGCCAAGGAGATGGGCTGTTAAATTTTGTTTGCTGAGCTAGTTTTCCTTCTATGTTCTCTTTCAGCACCATTGTACCAGTTCATGTTGGCCATTGCCGGAATGCCACATGGAGCCATACAAAACACAGGCTTAATTTTCTTCCCCAGTCAAGTGATATAGGGAGCAATCTAGGAAGGTACAGGTGTGGGTTGAGGGAAAGGCAGACCATATGCTGATATGTGTTACTTCTGCATAGCTCAGAGCACCTGGGCTTCTCACTACCTTTTTTTCCTTTGAGAGAGAGAGAGAGAGAGAGAGAGGGAGAGGGAGAGGGAGAGGGAGAGGGAGAGAGAAAGAGATTGCATGGGCAAGGGAGGAGCAGAGAACGGGGGAGAGAGAATCCCAAGTAGGCTCCACGCTATCAGCATAGAGCCCAATGTGGGGCTCTATCTCATGAACTGTGAGATCATGACCTGAGCCAAAACCAAGAGTCAGACACTTAACCAACTGAGCCACTCAGGGACCCCTGGGATTCTCATAATAAAGAGTGTATATGACACCTAGATGATATATGTGTCCATGTGCATGTTTTGCATACATGTATGTATATAATTCCTACATATATGCCTGTATTATCCCAAATCTTATAAGCTTTTGGAAGATCAAGACCCTTTCTCTCGTTCCCAGTGGCCATCTTCAGCATCCAACACAATGCCTAGTTATAGTTGTGTGGTTGTTATATATGACAAACAAAAATACAGGACATCCTGTTAAATTTGAATTGCAGGCAAGTGATAAATTATTTTTAGTATGAATACATCCCATGTGATATTTGAGACCTCTTTATACTAAAAAATGTGTTATTCATCTGAAATTCAAATTAACCTGGCATCCTGTATCTGGAAACCTTAAGAGTAGGTTCTCAATAAATATTTGTTGCATTCATGAATAAATAAATGAAGGAAATAATGAGATTTATGTAGGACTTATACATCCCTTTCATCTCTTTGGACTTTTCCATAGCTACATAATAGATTAGAGTTTCAACCCTTTCTCTCTGCAGCTGCTACAGATGGTCACCTCTACTCCAGTGGAAAGCTGTCCTAATGGAGCCAGAGAACATAAAATATCAAGGTTCAATGTGAGATGCGGAAGTTGAAGAAGAATGGCTGCTGAACCAATGGTTTCTCCTTTATGTAGCCCCTATGTGGGCATAGGGGATGGGAGAGAGTCTGAGAGCTGATCCTGAAAAGATGGTGCTTATTTTCTGACCTGTTGAACACTGAGCTCAGAGGGACAGTAGAATTGCTGCATAGATCAAGAGATACAAGAATAGAGGAAACTGCTGTCCAGCTCTATGTCCACTTCCCTGGGATACTGGATTAATCAGCTTTTGCTAAGTAACAAATAGTCCCAGAATCTTTTGACACATGGAGCTGGGCTTTTTTTTTTTTTTTTTTTTTTTTGCTCATAAGTTTGCAGATTGGTTATAGTGTCCCTGTTTCAGCTTTCCTTCGTGGATTGTAGTCAGGGGCCCTGGATGGGGGACAGTAACTCGTGGCAGAATCAAGAAAGTCCCAGAATAATGAGCAGAAGCATGCAATGACCCTTCAGGACTAGATTCCAAACTCAGATACTGTTGCTTCTGCCTACAGGCCATTTTCTCAAAGCAATACAGGGTCAAGCTCAACATCAATGGCAAAGAGGTAACCTCCTCGTATGAGGTGACAACTCGCTGAAGAATAACTGAACTTACCACTAAGATTGTAAACTCTATGGGACAGTTGCAGAGGGTATTGAAATGGAAAAGGCTAAGGCAACCTAGACCTTGAATCCTCTCCTGAACAGAAGGAGCAGAAAAATTGCAAGGGTTCACAAGTATTTACAGCATCTTAGCAGCTCTGCTGCAGGCTGTAGCATCTGCGTGCACAATACATATTAGATGTAACAGTCACCAGTTGCTAAAGGCTTGATAGGTGCCATGTTTTGGTCTCAGTTAATTCTTCTCATCACCCAGTAACATAGACAGTATATTTTCTTGTTGGTATATAAGAAGGCTGAAGCTGGTAAGCTGAGTAATTAACCCAGGGATCCTGGGGAGAGCGGAAGAGCTGGTGTCAGAACCCATGTGAGTCTAGTAGAAAGCCTACACCTTTCCACTGCTCTGCCCTGGGGTATGTGAATTCCAGTCTCCTCTCTTCCACAGTTGTTCTCTTCTGCCTTCTTAAAGGGGCTGCTGAGAGCACTAGGAAATCAGCTTCTAACCACAGCCATGCAAAGTCCAGGAGGAGGGATTTATGGAGTGAATTATGCAGCTTTACAAGTAGGAGTTTGGAAAAGGACTCCCATCCAAGACCAGTAAGGTCCAGGAAAAGTATCTCTTCCAAAAGGTTTTGAGAATGCACAGCTTGCCTGCATCCAGCAAGGGCCCTACAAGGACCTGGAGAAGGAGAAGAAGACCAGGGCTGTCACTGGCTCTGGGGCCTGGTAGGCAAGAAGGCGGGGCTGGCGGGCTTCAGCCATGGCCTTTGGGATTGACTACCTCCAGTAACACTCTGTTTACTGGGCTCCTGGCTCTGCACTTGGCTTTATCAGCTGCTGCTGAGTCAGTAGGGGGAGTATTTAATTAAAATCACGGTGGTGCTGTGAAATGAGGGATTGGGAAGACGGCCAAGCTCCGGGCCCTTCTGCTTAGCTTGCCCTTCTGTGTGGAGCCCCACTGCCAGGCCTGAGGCTGGTGACTGTCCCTCTGTCCCCTCTCCAGTGCGAGGCATGGCCAGCCCTGAGCCTCTAGCCTCTGGAGGGGAGCACTGAAGCTCTTACAGCTGCACATGGATGGAGGAGATGCACTTCTGTTTTATCCATTAATCACGTGCAGAGGGGTGGCAGTGGTGGGAAGCAGAGGCATGACGTTACCAGCTTGCCTCCCTGGACCAAACCCTACTTCCAAGCAGGGACAGGTGCAGGGGTCAGGCGTGGATGGAGAACCAAAGTGCCCTTTCATTAGGCTGTAGCTGGGACTGTGGCCCAAACACCACTGATGAGCTCCCTGGGAAGCTGGGCCCCAGCAGGTGCCCTAGGCCAACATGAAAGAGTGCCGCTCGCTTCCTGTGCCCAAAGCAAGAATCTGGGACTCGGTGATTGCACAGCAGGCCTGTGGGAGAGGCAAGCGTGCCTGGGCACGTGTGTTCTGGAAGAGAGGAGCAAGGTGAGCTGGGGGATGTATCCAGGGCACCAGCCCACTCCAGTTGACTAAGGTAACTGAATGAGTGTAAGATGGGGAAGAGGCTCTAGCCATAGGGTGTCACCCTGCAATGTGCTGGACACGTCGGCTGCCGGAAATACGAGCTATGTGTGTTTTCTGCAAGGTAGAGAAGGAGGTGGGGCAGTGAGAGGCAGGAGGCTCCAGTGCCTTCCCTCCACTGCTGGCCCACACCCACCATGGTCCAGACTGGAGGTCACCCCGAGCACTCAAACACTAATAAAGCACATCTGCCTTCAAGCAACTGACTTTGTATTATAGGAGATAGATATTTTTTCAGGTGATGATGAAAAGTCTCATGGTTTGGGGAAGATTTCCCTCATCTCCTTTCCGTACTGGGTACCTCCTCTCCTACCCCCAGAGAGTGCTGTTAAGAGGTACTCAATACTCAAGGCTCAGGACTTATGCACAGGACTGATGGGCATAATTCTGACCTGCAAGGAGAGGCAAGAAACCAGCCAGCAGTTGCCTTGATGCTTTTGTACATTTCTAATCCTGAAGAGCTTATTGTTAAACTGCTTCTTGAGTCTAGCCAGCCTTAGGATTGTGCATAGACTATTTCCAGGAGGGTGTGCCCCCAGATGTTCCTCCTTCTCCTCCAAAATCCACTCATCCTCAGCATGGGCTGGCTGGTTGGAATACAAAATAAAGAGAGATGGCTTTTGCAGGAAAACAACAGGGTCCTGTGCAAAGGTCCTGGGGCTCGAATGTTAAGTATCCTCATCACTCTCTCAGCTAAGGGTGGATTTAAGGGGATGGTCTTCATTGGTGCTCAGACTGCATCGTGAGTCTAACTTCCTTTTTTTTTTTTTTTTTATTTATTTCTAGGAGAGAGAGAGGGAGACAGCGTGAGCAGGGGAGGGTCAGAGAGGGAGGGAGTCACAGACTGAAACAGGCTCCAGGCTCTGAGCTGGCAGTCAGCACAGAGCCCGACGCGGGGCTCGAACCCACGAACCGCGAGATCATGACCTAAGCGAAAGTCGGACGCCCAACCGACTAAGCCACCCAGGCGCCCCGTGAGTCTAACTTCCTAGCACTCATTGAGGTCTACTGTTGCATTGTTCTCCATGTCCATTTTTCCCACCTGGTCATGAGGTCCCATGGGGATTGTTTTTTTCCTCTCCATGTCAGCATTTCCAAATTTAGTACCTGGTGAAAAGTACATGCTCAAGAGCTACCTGTTGAAGCAATGAAAGGTTGACAGATTTAGAAGTGGGTCCAGGTAATACAAACCATAGAGGAGGTGGGACATTTCTGCTATGGTAAGAAGAATCCAGAAAGCTGCACAGAGGAAGTGACTTTTGAGCTGGGCCCAGTACCTCCAATATTTACTAACTGACCTCATGAACCTTGATCCTTTCATTTGTAAAATGGGAATCATAGGTTCTGGGCGGGGGAGAGGTTAATTCAATATGAATGTGAGAATCTAAGACAGAACCTGGTACCTAGTAGATAAGTCAAAACCATGAGAGTTATTTTCACTAAAAATGTATACATTACAAGGTAGTCAGTGTCATGCAGGTTTGTGCTGGGTGGTGGAGGATGACATGGTGAAAACAAGGTCTAGAAATGTGGCTTGATTCCCACTGAGAGGTTACCTGGCCAACCCAAGGAATTTGGCCTTGTTTCTGGAAACAGGCTCATGGTACCAGTGTGACGTTCTGAGCGCAGTCCCTCTGGTCAAATTCCAGCTCTGGCTCGACCTCTTGGTAGCTGTGTGAACAGAGCACTCTATTTAAGCCTCATTGTAAACTTCAGTTTCTTAATCTATAAAATGGAGATAATAAAAGTGTACTGATTTTCTAGGGCTGCTATCTAATTATCACAAACTTGGTGACTTGAACCAACATATTTATTCTCTCACAGTTAGGGAGGCCAGAAATCTGAAATCAAAGTGCTGGCAGAATCCCTACATCTTCCAGGTGATTCCAGGTGATTCGAGGTGGCTCCTGGCTTGTGGCTGAGAACTCAGATCTTTGCCTCTGTTCTCACATGGCCTCTCTTCTGTGTTTGGGTCTTTTCTGTTCTTTTAAGGATACTTGCAAGATTTAAGGTCCACACGGGTAATGTGGGATGACCGCATCTCAGGATCTTTAATCTGATCACATCTGTAAAGACCCTTTGTTCAAGGTCACATTCACAGATTCTGGAAGTTGGACACATCTTTTTTGGGGAGCCACCATTCAACCCATCCTAAAGAGCACATGAACATGAGACCTGTGAAGTTTTAGTGACACCCATGCAAAATGCACGCCTGAGTGTCAGCAGTTTCATTCGATAAAGGAAATTTTCAACTTTGGATGTCTGGGGCTCTGCTCCTGGGCTGCCAGAGAAGCTATTCCTTACCATTTACCAAGGTCAAAATGACTCGGCAAGACCTCACAGCACGGGCTCTATATCTGCCCTGAGCACACACTGTATGTCTGGGAAGAACAAAAGAGCCCAAAAGAAGCGTTCCAAACATAAAGATGAGAAAAACAAAAAAGACCTCCCTAGTTCCCATAAGATTAAAGTCATACAGCTTTGCTCCTACGAAAACCATAAGGTAAAGCCTGTAGCTTTCCGGAATGCCTTTCGTCATGACGATTTGTGACGCTTTATGTAAAAAACATATATATCCCGTGAGCACTCTCTTCTTTGTGGAGATTGTGTCTTCTGGACACTTGACCTAATGGGCTCAAATAAAACCGCTTTTGCTTTCTGTTTAAAGTGCTTTAAAAAGGCTTGTTCATGTTAGCATCTACATGCTAATGGAATACAGATCATGGTGTGTGCTTCTCTGGGAATTCTGGTGTATATTCCACAGATAGGCTCTTTGCTAGGGTCTGTCTGTCCTTACACTGTGTTGGCTGGTTGTTTCCTTTGTTGCTTGGCCTTCCTTCCCCTCCCAATATCTATCTCTCTTTCTAGTTATTCTTCATGGTGTCTGATTTTCTTGTCTGCATCTTCTGCCAGCCATGACTGCATTCCCAGGCCTCCTACCAATATTTTTGAGTGCATGAATGTTATTCAATAACAAACATCACCAGGCAGGCACGGGAAGAGGGCGGGTTCCAAGCAGACCTGCATGAATTCCAGCCCTGTAACCTTTCTGTGCCTTAGTTTTCTCATCCAGAAAATGGGCACATTATTCTAAATTTGAAGATGATTGCAAGAAACAAACTGAA